AGGTCTACTCCCCACGTTGAGTATCTATAAAATTATAGTTAACACTCTAAATCCACTAGCATGATCAAAGGTTACAAGTACAATGGCCAGTACTCAAAGTATCAACCAGAAAAGCCCTTAGAAATGTAGTTTCTCTCTCAATCTTTCTTCTCTCACAATTACACCACGTAACCAAAGTAATTGCTCACCAAGAACAAAATAAGAACCCTCACAACACTCCATTTTGAATCTCACTAAGAAATCATCACAAATAGGACAACGGATGATAGATAGAAAGATAAACGACACCACAATAGAAAACCCTAGAATAATCTGGCAAAAGAAGAGACAAATAGGATATTTAAAAGAAATAAGCCAACAAGCAACCATATGGCTTCATTTTAGCTTTTAGAATTGTTTTAATCAAAGTCGCATAACAATATGCGAGTATGTACATTGATGAGGTAGCAAGGCCAGGCTTCCAATTTAAATCATAGGGCCTATAGGTTGAGCCCAATTGCAGATGGCCCAAAAGTGTTAAGCATGCCAGCCTAACAATCTCTACCAAGCTTGACATCTCGTGACATACCTATTTGGATTTAGATGTTAACTCTATTTGCTTCATTCGCTCGAAGTACTTACACAAACTTTAACCAGTATTACGATTTAGGAAATTTAAACAATCCTTAAATTTATGTAAAGGCAGTATTTTCGTACTAATATCTCCAGGATTATATTTATTAGAAATTTTATCTATTTTCATAATTTCTTTTTCTAATATATCCATTACAAAATAAAGTTTGACATCAATGTGTTTTGTCTTATCATGAAAAAGCAAAATTTCTACCTAAATGTATTGCTAACTCACTATTAGAATATAACATAGCATTATTCTCAGCAAAACCAATTTCACTTCAACAAATCTTTTAACCGAATACATTCCATTACGATACTTGTTGATACAGTACATTCAGCTTTCGTAGGTGACAAAGCTACAATTTTCTGTAATTGAGATTTCTAACTAATACAAGTATCATTTATAGTAAACACCTAAGTAGAAGTGGATTTTCTATTATCATTATTTTCAGCAAAATATAAATCAACAATTACCTTTTGGATTAATTTCCTCAACGAAATTATTAAACATTAACCTAATGTTAGATGTTCCTTTTAAGTATCTTAATTGCTATTTCACAGCCTCCAAGTAACACTTACTAGCATTGCTCGTGAATCTTGTTCGTTTGATACCCGTAAGCGTACGGGATCGTTGACAAGTAATAATAAGTGAGCTAAGAGTTATCGTCCCACAGAAAATAAATTTAATTCAAGTTTACTAGTTTCGTATGGAATTCTAATTATGAAAACAAAATAAAAATTGTGATTTGATTTAAACTAAACTAATCTAAGAAAGCAATAAAAATTGGGGTTTTATCAAATTATGGAGGATTGTATTGGATTTCGACTCCGCCAGTTGCTATTTATTTCAATTCTTAATTCGTAATCTAATTCCATTCACATGTAATTGACAATAGATAACGCTAAATTATTCAATGCTCTTTTCCAAGACACATGAACTATGATTAACACGACCCGATCCTATTCCTAGTCCAAATTCATATGAAAACCACTCATTTAGTTCAAGTTATCAATAGGATTGCATTTATGATAGATATTATTCCTAATCCTAACAATATATGTTAATTTTGCCGCGTTCTAAACACATTGTGAATATTCCTACACTACAACAAGCAACTAACTATTCAGTTGATGGCCAAACATTCAATAGTGCAATGAGAATGCAAAATTAATCAAGAAACACAAGAATTAAACTAAATTACTTGTCTTGAGCTAGAAATAAATAAACAATAGGGTTCGTCTCATCCAATACATAAAAGAAATTAGCCTAGCACATTAATATATAAATTACAAGAAGAATAATAGAAAATATCACCCGGATCATGAAAGAATACAAAAAATGTTGATCTTCACGTCCAAAGTTAAATTCTTCAAACTTGATGTAATTGAACTTCAATTCCTTGCTATGGCTTGATATTCTCTCTCAAAATATAGCAATTGGCCCCTTGTTCTTGATGGATTTGATGAAACTATTGTGTATGAAGAGGCAAGAGAGAGACCCTTTCATTGCTGCCCATATCTTGTATTTATATGATGAAATTAGGTCAAAATTCACGTCCAAATTGTCTTCCAAAAGAGTTTGAATCAAATAAGGAAAGTTGCCTTCGCGCGCACATAATTTTGTCTCTGCACAGCCTTCGGTATTTTGATCATCACTTTCTCTTTCGATGTCCGATTTAGGTAATTCAAAGTGCATTGGAAATCTAATTAAAAGATCTACAATTCTTCTAGATGTACAATTTTTCCAATTCAAACGTTCTCCATCCGAAAAATAGGTCTCAAGTTGACCAAAAATCTTGAAAATTTCCTATATGATTGGAAGTCGATTTATGATAATATTCTAATCATATCCCTTTCCTTTTTGACTCCAATTTGCATTCAGTTGACTCCTATCAATCTTCAAAGTATCTTTTGTGGTCCAAATCAACCATTAAATATTTACACTTCGGTCCCCATACTTTGAATTTGCTTCATTTTAGCCATTTTCCGTTCTTTTTTCCAATTCTTCTTTGAAACATGAACTTTTCCTAATAAAAGCAATAAATAACAAATCAGGTACTAATTCATTCAAAGAAAAACAAAATATCATCATTTAAGATCCCAAATAAGTGTAGAAACTACACTTATCAAACCCCGAAATTTGAATCTTTGTTTGTCCTCAAACGAAAATATAACCTAAATAATAACAAACATATAAGCATGAAAAATATTTGGTTTGACAATCTAGCTTTGAACCACAGAATTCGAGATCACCGTATTAAATCTATAAACTGCTTCAAAGTCACAATACCAAACCAATATTCACTCTTCCAATGCAAAATCGACGTGTGTGTGTGTGTGTGTGTGTCAAAAATTAAGTAGACATTAATAATTTCACAAGTTGTTTCAATTCCCGACCTTCTATGGTTAAATATATCCTTTCATCTCTTGAAAGATTCACACACCCCTAAATTTATTCTTTTTCACTATTTTTCCAGCGTGTGATTTAAGGTTGAATTTTTCATTACTATCCTTACCCTCTCTAGTTCAGGTGGACATCACTGGCTGCAAGTCAATACATCAATGAACAAGGATTTTGAATTAATTTGATTGCTTCAACCACCAAGACTCAATTAGGCTAATTATCTTTAATCGAAAGTTAAATTTTTCTCGAATAAGTGTTAGGACTTAACAAGGTATTTAGTGCATCTGCTTTTTTCCATGCACTTGCTTTTTCTGATTTTTAAGAGTTTTTTTTCTTTCCATTAAGCTTTCTAGATGACCCCTGTAGCAGGCTTTAAGCCGATGACTCCCAAGTCAGATGACTTTAGGGCACCAGATTTTAGAATATCCTTACAGGCTTAATAACCTAAGTCAAAAAGGTTTCAAAGAGAACAATTTTTTTTTTCAAGTGTAACTTCATCTCTGATTGCTTTCTAAATGACCCATGTAACGAGCCTTAGGCCGATGACTCCCAAGTCAGACGACTTTAGGGCATCAGGTTTTAAGATACAATTTCAGGCTTAATTACTCGAGTCATAAAGGCTTTAGAGAGAAGTTTTAAATTTCAAAATGTATTCCTTGATTAGTACAATGCTCCTTATCACACACTTATTCAATCAAATCGACCTCCAACTCAAAACTTTCACCCAATTTTATCCTGTTAGTCTAAGACAATTCACACATAAGTTTTCACATATGGAATCCCTGTCCACATCTGTATCTTTCTGCAACAGCAAAATCACCCCCAAACTATGCTAAATTTGGCCTAAGGATAAATAATTTGTATGGTATGGGCAAAGCGTCTATATCCGATTAAATCAACCTATCAAGAATATGAATCAATTCATTTCATCACAATGTCAAACTCAATTCTAGTGAATGTATAATATCAAGTCTTGCAACGTTGAGCTTCAATTAGTTTAGCATGCATCTTATCCACAGTTCATAAATCAATACTAAACCTCAAATTTAATCATTATAGTCAGCCAAACTGTCTAATCCACACAAGCATACAAACAAACAAAAATAAATAAATAGATAATTTTTTTTAACGCACAAAAATAGAAATTTTAACGAATTTTTTATTTTTTTTATTTTTTTTAAAGAAACACACAAAAACATACAAAAATCAAAAACTCTAAAAGTTTTTCCCACCCCCAAACTTAAACTTGACATTGTCCTCAATGTCTTAAAACATAATTGAGAATATAAGGGGACGGGGAATGAAAGGAAGAAGGTACTCCCCTGATTTTCCTGTTGAACGTAAAACGCACTTTGGGCAAGTGTTAGACATTCTCATTCATCATGTCTTCCCCTTGGTCTATGTTGGTTTGAGTGTTTTGCGACATTATGTTCCTACATATGGCAGTTAAATAAAAAAATAGAGATCAAATAACCTAGAATATGTGTTACTTAGCCCAAATATCTCATAAACCACTAAATTTCAAAGACCTAAGAGAAAACGTAGTATGGATGATGAGTCCCTCAAATAAAAATTAATCTAAATTATCTTAAACTATTTTAATTATAGTAAAATAAAATAAAATAGATAGAAATATTGGGTTGCCTCCCAACAAGAGCTTAATTTATAGTCTTTAGTTAGAATTTGTTGCTTTCAGGCTCTTCATGGTGGCTTAAAAAGAGAATTTTTGGCCTTGCATTTTAAGCACTGGTTGCACTTCTTTCTTTCATCTTTCATTCGCCACATGATCAAGTTTCCATTTACCTACATCTGGTTGGCCTTTGTAACTCTCTCGGTGATCAACTCGTTGACAATCCTCAACATATGATGGTTGCTTGATTGGATTCTCCATGGTGAAGCTTTGTTGCTTATCCTCCACCCTCAGGACTATCTCATTTGTATCAAAATCAAGTAATGCCCGACTTGTTGACAGAAATGGCCTTCATAGTATTATTGGAATTTGGGATGCCTCTTCTATGTCTAGAAGGATAGAGTCGGCTGGAAAAATAAATTCTCCCGTCTTGATGAGCATGTTCTCGACTATTCCATAGGGATGTTTCAATGTTTTGTCCTCCAGCTGAAGGATGATAGAAGCCGCCTTGGGATCTCCCAATCCAAATTTCCTGTAAAGAGGCAAAGGAATTAAGTTAATACTTGCTCCTGAATCAATTAAACAATTAATACCTTGTAAGTTTCCTATGGAGCAAGGTAGAGTGAAACCCCCTGGATCTTTAAGTTTGGGAGGGATCCTGTGCTGGATGATAACGCTACACTCTTTAGATAGTGTTATTGTTTCATGCTCGGGCATCTTTCTCTTTTTAGTCAGCATCTCCTTCAAAAACTTAGAATAGTTTGGGATTTGAAGGATAGCGTCAATGAATGGGATGTTGACATGCAACTTTTTGAGGATTTCCAGGAATTTCATAGCTTCCTTCTCCAATTTGGTCTTCTGTAACGTTTGAGAAAAAGAGACCAGAGGTGTTAGTGAAGTGCCAAGAACATTTGCCTTAAGATGTGGATTGTCTGAAACTGTCTGTTGGTCCTTTTCTATTGTTTCTTCATATTGCTCCATCGGTTCCTTATCCTTAGTAGGCATTTGAGTTCTCTCTGTTCCTTCCTCTTTACAGTGATTTCTGGTAATTGAACACCACTCCTAGTAGTGATGGCCCAAACCTGCTCTGCTGTTGGCTGGCGTTGAAGTCTTTGAGGAAATGGAATGGGTGGCATATAAGCTTTGGCAGGGGTGGTGGATGTAGTAGATGGGAGCTCAATAGTTGCATAATTTACCGTCTCAACTACTAATACCTGCTCCCATGGGTTCTTCTCTGTGTCATTCGACAAGGTACCCTGTGGTCTGTTGGCTAATGAAGCTGCTATCTGTCCCACCTGATTTTCTAGGTTATGTATGGAAGCCTATTGATTCTGCGTTATTGTTTCAGTCTTAGTGATGTACGTGACCAGTAGATCTTCCAAGGATTGCCTCTTACCTTGCTGTTGCCGAATTACTGATGGATTGCCCTTCATTTGATTTACTTGATCTGGATTATCCACCCACGAATAGTTGGGATGCTTGTTCAAACTCGGATGGTAGTTGTATGGGTAAGATCCATTTTGTCTCTGATAGTTCTGCGCATAACTAACCTCTGCTGACTGACCCATGTGAGTAGAAGCAAAAGGGCAACTTGAAGTGATGTGATCTACCCCACAACCTACGCATACCGGAGCTGGATGTTGTACCATGTGCACAAATTGAGTTAAAGTATCAAGCTTCTTTGTTATTGCTTCCATCTGTGCTGCCAATGCTGTCACTGCGTCTACATTATGCAATCCAGTTGTTTTTCTCGGACCTTCCCTATCTGTTAGCCAATTGACCTGATTCTTAGCAATCCTCTCAAATAAATTATGTGCATCGTCCACCTCGATAGTCAAAATTGATCCACCCGCAGAAGCATCAACTATATTGCGAAATTCAGCGTACAGTCCATTATAGAATAGATATATTTGTGCCAGTTTAGGAACATCAAGATTTGGACATTTCCTGATCGCACTTTTGAATCTGTCCCATGCTTCCGGATATGTCTCATGATCCTCTTGTCTGAAAAGATATACTTCATTTCTGATTTGGTGGACTCGAGATGGTGGGAAGAATTTCATGGTAAATTGTTGTACCATGTCATTCCACGATACGATGTTCCCAGGGGGTTGTGACATCATCCATATTTTCGCACCCTTCTTCAAAGTGTGAGAGAATAAACGCATTCGGAATGCATCTTGTGACATCCCCATGGCTAATGACATCACAAAGCATGGTAAAAGCTTGAATATGTTCGTGTGGATTTTTCGTCGCTTTCCCACTGAACCTGATGTCTTGATGATTTTGGAAAAGATTTATGACATCTGGTCGAATGTGAAAGTTTACATAATCTCTAACCAATATAGGCTGAGCTGGAGGTGGTTGTTGAACCTGAAGTGCTGCATTCTGTAGTGCATTTTGAATCTGATCTTGATTCTCAGCCATTACCCTCGTTCTTCTTAGTTCTCTTAGCGTTGTTTAAAGGTCCTTTCAATTTCGAGATCTAGTAAAAGCCTTAAGAGTAAAATAAGAAGAGATTAGGTATCATGATTAAAGCCTAAAATAACAAAAATAATAAATAAAATAATAAATAAATAAAAAATAATAATAAAAAATTCAAATCCAATGTAAACTAATAAAGTCAAACTAAAACTTTATTCTCCGGCAGTGGCGCCAAAAACTTGTTCGTGTGATACCCGCAAGCGTACGAGATCGTTGACAAGTAATAATAAGTGAGCTAAGAGTTATCGTCCCATAGAGAATAAATTTAATTCAAGTTTACTAGTTTCGTATGGAATTCTAATTATGAAAACAAAATAAATATTGTGATTTGATTTAAACTAAACTAATCTAAGAAAGCAATAGAAATTGGGGTTTTATCAAATTATGGAAGATTGTATTGGATTTCGACTCCGCCTATTGCTATTTATTTCAATTCTTAATTCGTAATCTAATTCCATTCACGTGTACTTGACAATCGATAACGCTAAATTATTCAATGCTCTTTTCCAAGACACACGAACCTATGATTAACATGACTCGATCCTATTCCTAGTCCAAATTCATATGAAAATCACGCATTTAGTTCAAGTTGTCAATAGGATTGCATTTATGATAGATATTATTCCTAATCCTAACAATATATGTTAATTTTGCCGCGTTCTAAACTCATTGTGAATATTCCTACACTACAACATGCAACTAACTATTCAATTGATAGTCAAACAATTCAATAGTGCAATGAGAATGCAAAATTAATCAAGAAACATAAGAATTAAACTAAATTACTTGTCTTGAACTAGAAATAAATAAACAATAGGTTTCGTCTTATCCAATACATGAAAGAAATTAACCTAGTATATTAATATATAAATTACAAGAAGAATAATAGAAAAATATCGCCCGGATCATGAAAGAATACAAAAGATGTTGATCTTCACGTCCAAAGTTGAATTCTTCAAAACTTGATGTAATTGAACTTCAATTCCTTGCTATGGCTTGATATTCTCTCTCAAAATATAGCAATTGGCACTTATTCTTGATGAATTTGATAAAACTATTGTGTATGAAGAGGCAAGAAAGAGACCCTTTCATTGCTGCCCATATCTTGTATTTATATGATGAAATTAGGTCAAAATTCATGTCCAAATTGTCTTCCAAAAGAGTTTGAATCAAATAAGGAAAGTTTCCTTCGCGCGCACATAATTTTGTCTCTGCACAGCTTTCAGTATTTTGATCATAACTTTCTCTTTCGGTGTCCAATTCAGGTGATTCAAAGTGCATTGGAAAACTAATTAAATGATATACAATTATTCTAGAAATACAAGTTTTCCAATTCAAACATTCTCCATCCGAAAAATAGGTCTCAAGTTGACCAGAAATCTTGAAAATATCCTATATGATTGGAAGTCGATTTATGGTAATATTCTAATCATATCCCTTCCCTTTTTTACTCCAATTTGCATTCATTTGACTCCTATCAATCTCCAAAGTATCTTTTGTGGTCCAAATCAACTATTAAATATTTACACTTTGGTCCCCATACTTTGGATTTGCTTCATTTTAGCCATTTTTCGTTCTTTTTTCCAATTCTTCTTTGAAATATGAACTTTTCCTAATAAAAGAAATAAATATCAAACCAGGTACTAATCCGTTCAAAGAATAACAAAATATCATCATTTAAGATCCCAAATAAGTGTAGAAACTACACTTATCAAATCTATTAAGAACACTTACAGCAATGGCTAAATCTGATCTAGTACATACCATAATGTACATAACTGAACCAACAACATTAGCATAAGAAATTTTATTTAATATAATCTAATCATCCTCAATTTTAGAACATTGTTCAAGAGACAGTTTAAAGTGACTTGCCAAATGTAAACTTACAGTTTTAGCATTGGACATAGAAAATTTATTCAGTATTTTAGAAACGTAATACCCTTGTGTTAGAAATAATTTATTTTCAATTCTATCTATTTTAATCTTCATTCCTAAAATCCGTTTACTTCGAATTCATGTTTTAACTTCTGTTTTACCTTGTTTATTTCATAAACATCACTTCCAATAATCAACATGGTATCAATATATAGCAGAAGATAATAGGATTTGAACCTCCATTATCCTTAAAATAAAATAAAAAAGTGGAACGTATTTTACTTGTGTTGAAACCAAACCCCTTTATGAAGGTGTCAAGCATTTTATATCATTGTCTAGGAGCTTGTTTCAATCTAAACAAAAAAAAAAAAAAAAAAAAATTATATGAAAAAGACACTGTTTTTTTTTTCCCTTTTGTTCAAAACATTTAGGTTGAATCATATAAATATTTTCATCCAAGTTTCCATTTAAGAAAGCAGTTTGTACGTCTAATTATTCTAATTCTATTTCAAATCAAGAAACAAGAGAGACAAAAATCATTATAGAAGTATATTTGACAATAGAAGAAAATATTTCATTGTAGTCAATCCATTTCCTATGGGTAAAACCCTTTGCAACTAACTTCGCCTTAAACCTCACACTGTTATCTTCATGTTTTTCATCTTTTTATTTTGTAAATTCATTTACAGAATATAATTTTTGTTCCCTTTGGTTTATTTACTAAGGTCCATGCCTTCTTTTTATCCAATGAAAGCATTTTATCTTTCATGGTTGCAAGCCAAAGACTTTGCATCCTTCCCTCCAATAGCCTCTTCATAAGAATTAGGCT